ATTTTCCTTACAATTTCTGAGGCTTTTCTATACAAATTACATTTTAAAATGAATACTAAAACAGTGTATTATATTCCTATGAAAGCTAACTGATTTTCCTTATATCAATACAAATGGTGAAAACTAAAACTTATTAATCCTTTCCCTTAATTACAGTTGTCTATGCCCTGGTAAAAATTGTGAATGAATCAGTATTATAAGTGACTATAAATTAGATCTATATGTTCATGGCAGTAAATAATAATTAAATCATTCCTCTTCTTGAAGTGTATTGGCTCTGAAATTAGATTGCTTGGATTCCAATCTTGGCTCTCTAGTTCACTGTGTCTTCTAGAATATGTGTCTTAATCCCTCCTCCATTGTTTCTTTTTTTTTTTTTTAATTTTATTTATTTTATCCTCATCTGAGAACATTTTTCCATTTTTTGTTTAGAGTGGGAGGGATAGATAGAGAGAGAAACATGGATGTGAAAGGGACACATCGAGCGGTTGCCACCCACACGGCCCAATTAGGGCCGGGGACAAACTGCAACCGAGGTACGGGTCTCTCTGGACCGCAGGCCGACGCTCTAACCGCTGAGCCAAACCGGCCAGGGCTGTTTCTTTACTTGTACAAAATGCCTCTGTTAAGGAACTTCGTTCAGAATTTGACATGACTCTTGTAGCAGTTAGCACGGTGCCTGTGTAAAGTGCTGTTATTACATGTATGTTATATGTGCCTTGTAGCCTATCTTTTGGGTATGTACCTTGTTTCCTTAACTTGATTGCAAGCTTTGAGAAGGCAGGGACCAGCTCATATAGTTTTTCAGTCCCTTCATCACTACAATGTCTTATATTAAAACTAAAGGGAAATTTGGGGCTACATTTTAAAGGCCCTTGACTATCAATTTCCCCAGGCCTGTTCTGGACCTGTCTCCCACTCTAGTATAACCCCTGAATCCACTTTGATTTGTGGCATAGGACATTCATGGCTGCTTCCTACACCAATCAATAGCAGCCAATCCAATTAAGCATTCAGACCATCGGTCCTTTGGCCTGAGGCTGTATGTAGTAGTACAAAAGATCCCATATGGTCATATCATTTAGGAGCTGTTTCTGAGTTTCTTAGGCATTTTCTGACTATTGGGCAGTACATAATTTATTTCATCCAAGTTAAATTATGCAGAATATAATTTATGCCCTCCTTCTTTTCCTCTTCTCACAGTATAGTGATGAGTTAGCTAGCATTTTCCTTGTCAAAGAATCTACTGTCACAGTCTGAACAACTAATCTGTAATAGGCTCAAAGGTCACCCAAGGTTAATATAGTGTGACCTTTGTCCTTTAAACATGTTAAATTTTACTTCTTCAGTTTTTTTTTTTTAACCTAGCAATCTGATTTGAGCTAATCTAAAATAGAATTAAGTTTAAAACTGGTACATATTGACTTTTACCTACAGTTTGTGAAGTAAACACTGAGTATAGCAGCAAGGTTCAGCAAGCCTGGCCAACTGGTGTGAGTGTTGCACTTTATTTAACCTGGTAGAATCCATAGACTGGATGGAGGCTTAGAGAATGTAAAATATTTTCGTCGTCACATGAACTATTTGGAAAGTTTGTATGAGGTTTTGGGGCTCCTCTCATTCTTCTCAGTGCTCTGCCAACAACATTTCCTTGTCTGCAAACAGCTCTGCAGCTCCCTTATTCATATTTCTTCTGTCCACTTCCACTCTATCTTAATTTACAAAATAAATTCCTAGGTTTTTTTTAGTTCTATTTTGTTAGTGATTACTTGCAGCCACACACAAATTTGATTATAGCTGTATGGTGTTGTGGAAAAGCTTGCAACTGGATTCCAAAATGAGAGGCAGTGTAAATTATAAAGTACAAAACACTGTGTTAAAGAACTGTCAGCAAAAAATAAAAATGTTAAAAAAAAATGGTTTGGAAAGGAGGGAGAACTAGGCTGGTAGAGGAAACAATACACACCTAGGAAAGGAAAAGCCACATTACGGAAAGCATTTGAGGGACAAGGACAATGGAAACACTTAAGTGACTTTATTTATTTATTTATTTATTTATTTATTTATTATTTATTTATTTATTCCTTCCTCACCCGAGGACATTTTTCCATTTTTTGTTCAGGTAGAGTGGGAGGGAGAGAGAGGAACAGAGAGCGAGAGAAACATCGATGTGAAAGGAACACATCAAATGGCTGCCACCCTCACGACCGACCAGGGCTGGGGATAAACTGCAACCGAGGTAGGTGCCCTTAGCGGGAACCAAACCAGGGTCTCTCAGGACCGAAGGCCGACGCTCTAACCGCTGAGCCAAACCGGCCAGGGCAAGTGACTTTATTTTTAATAAAATAATTATATAATATGGTTATTCAACATTTATATACCTAACAAACTGTCTAGTAACTATCTGACACCATGCAAAGTTATCACATTGTTATTAACTATATTCCCTATGCTGTACATCACCATGGCTTATTTATCTTATAACTGGAAATATGTACGTCTTATTCCCCTTCATCTTTTTTGCCCTTTCCCCCACTTCCTTCCTCTCTGGGAAACATCAGTTTATTTTGTATATCTATGAATCTGTTTCTTTTCTTTGTTTTTTTTATTCCACATATAAGTAAAATCATATGGTACTTGTTCTGTCAGACTTATTTCACCTAGCATAATACCCTCTAGGTCCATCTATGTTTTCACAAATGACAAGATTTCTTTTTCATGGCTCAGTAACATTCCAGTGTGTGTGTGTATGTATCACATTTTTTTAATCCATTAATCTAGCAATGGACACTTAGGTTGCTTTCATATTTGGCTATTGCAAATAATGCTGCAATGAACACAGGGTTACTGACCTGGGCCCCGAGGCTAGGGCGACTAGATTCCATTCTTATGTAGGTCTCTTGTCTAAGGCGACTAAATGACTCCATTTTTATCATCAATGGGCCTTCCTGATATTTTTCCAATAATAGGTTAATTACTCCAAGAAGTAAAGGAATTTTGCCTAAGATTATAGTTGCCCCTTGTGTTGGGAGGCGTTTGCAGTTTCAAGTACCAGTAATTGCAGACATTTGCAGGTATTCATGAGCCCGAAGAATAATGCTAATTTTGACTTCTGTAATTGCTGTCACACCCTCTATTGTACCAGTCCTCTGGGGAGGGGAGGGTTATGGGGCTTCTGTCTTTAAAATAATGAGCAAGAAGAATCATGATTGCTGATATGAGAGGAGACTATGCCCTCCGCAGCTGGCCGGCTAGAATAAAGCGCTCCTTTACAATTTGGCTGTGCATCTCTGGTTATCTCCCTGACACATTATAAGAGTACCTGCACTTTTCAAACCAGTGTTTTTGTTTTCTTTGGATACCCAGAAGTAAAATTGCTGGGTGTGGATCCTCCGAAATCCTCCAAAAGTCACAGAGGACATTAGGTTGTCTTAGATTTGTGACTCTCCTGAAAGATATACTGGATCTTTCTTTCTCTTTCCCAGAGGACATTAGGTTGTCTTAGATTTGTGACTCTCCTGAAAGATATACTGGATCTTTCTTTCTCTTTCCCAGAGGACATTAGGTTGTCTTAGATTTGTGACTCTCCTGAAAGATATACTGGATCTTTCTTTCTCTTTCCCAAGGAGCACTCATTCATCATTGTTGAACTCTAACTTGTGCTAGGGACTGTACAGGAACTAGGTTTGCAAAGATGAAAAGAGCACAGTTCCTGTCTTCAAGTGCTTTTAGTCTTTGAAACAGAACATCCTAAAACATAGGTATAACGGACCCGGTTGCAGAAAGAGAAAGCAGCAAGTAGAAGCTTGGAAGAGTCCTTAAGGCTCCACAGGGGAAGACAGCTGTGGTCCAAGGGACAAAGAGAATTGTGATAGGCTTTTGCATCTTTCAAAAATAACAATGTGAAATGGATCGTCCATAAAGGAAAGGATTGGGATGATGAAACTTTATAAGGAAGGTTTTAAAGATTTAATCAGAGCAGGGACTTACACAGGCATAGTTGTCAGGGAAGAAGAAAGGTCACATGACAAATGAGAGCTAACTGATCAAACTGACATTGGCCCGTGTGGAGCATCTTCTGCAGACTTGCACTTGCTGCATCTTGTCCTTGTTGACTACTGTTCGCCAATATCTAGTTAGAGGAAGAGAGCCCACTTCTTCTATCAGATTTTGCACACAGCATAGGGAGAAAGCTACCTTTATAGTTGCAAACCCTTTTCTCGCCCTCTCCCCCTGGAGTTTTAGGCGGTATGAGGCAGATCTGCAGGAAGTTTAGAGGTTTCCCTCTTTTCCATTAAATACAAAATCATTCAAATAGGGCGGTTAACACCCGCAGCCCTAAACCTCGCACGCCTCATCGCCTGCCCTCCGGGGTTCACTCCGCGCACAGCTTCTGGTTAGCCTAACAGTGTAAACGGCCGTGGGGCTGCAACCGCTCCCAGTCGGCACGCGGCGAGCGTTGCGCGCTCGGGACTCTTAGGCCAGGGTCAAGGAGCAAGGAGCAGGGAGGAAGGCGAGGCCGGGACGTGGGCTTTTGACGGACGACCCTTATAGCCAATTGGAAGCCTGGTCGGCTTCCCCCCTGCCAATAGGGAGCGAGACAAAGGTTGGGGGTGCGCTTCCCGCGGGCTGCGGCTGGATTCGATCCCACACAGCGACAGCGAAGGCAGGGGCGGGGGCGGAGGCTTGGCCTGGGCGACGGGCAGCGGATCCGGGGAGGAGGGAAGACCGGAAGCCGCGGTCTCGTCCCATCCTTAGATTCGCTCCCCCGGGCTGGGAGCGGACACAGAGGAGCGGGGTGAGGCTGAATGCTGGCTCCTTAGTGCAAGGGAGCGGCCGCTGGGGAGCCTCCTCCCCGGGCGCTCTCCGTACCCAGCCGGCGCCTGAGCACTCCGTCGCTGCGGGCGGCCCGGCTGCGCAGAGCTCGCTGGAGACGCGCTGCCCGCGGCAGGGACTGAGCGGCGGCCCCAGGCCCGCAGCGCCCCGCCTCCCCCACCCGCCTGCCCGCCGGTCCCTCCGCCGTCGCCATGTCCTCGTCCTCCTCCTCCCCCAGGGAGGCATACGAGGAGGATCGGGAGTACGAGAGCCAGGCCAAGCGCCTCAAGACCGAGGAGGGGGAGATCGACTACTCCGCGGAAGAAGGCGAGAACCGCAGGGAAGCGACGCCCCGGGGCGGGGGCGATGGCGGCAGCGGAGGCGGCGGCCGGAGCTTCTCACAGCCGGTAACAAAGCGCGGCGCCCCGTCCGCTGTGCCTGGCGGCTCCCCCGGGAAGCAGGGCCCGGTGGCGGGGACGGGCTCTGGGCCTCTCGCCCGCCTTGTTTTCCTTCACTGCTGCGCTGGCCCGGCTGGGGAGCGCCGGCGCTTCTCTTTGGGCTTCTATTATTCGCCCTACCTGTTCTGCGCATCCCGATCGGGAATCCGGCCCTGGCCTGGCCGCAGGCCCTGCGCGAGTCGGCTGCCGGCCCTGAACTTGGCGAGGGTCGCGGGAGGGGCGGCGGGGAGGCGTGGCTTCCGCTCCGGGGGCTTAGGTGTGCGGTGAGCTCTTTGTTAGTTTAACTGTTCCGGCGTCTGCACGACCCGCTCGCCCCGTTCAGCCCCTCTGCCTGCAGTGTCCGCGCGCTGGTCACGGTCACTGGATGGCTGCCTCTGCTCTCCGCCCGGGTCCGGAGGAGAGTCTGAGCAAATGACTACGCTCTGGCGCTCACACCCTAGTTCCCCTGAAGGTTCAACTTAAATTTTTAAAATTCTTGGCACATATGGCGTGCATGCTTTGCTATCCAGTTTTATGATTATTCCTTAGTACCGTTTTTTAGCTCTTCGGTTTTAAAAATACCAAGTAGGGACATCCCTACTTGAAAGGAAAACAAACCACCTCAGTTCTTCATTGACAGTTTATTTTATATTTGCGCCCCCCCCTTCCCCAAAAGGAACTGAACCCAGGACTGCATTAAACATACGCTCTTGGATTCTTGTTTCTCTCATCAAGAATGTTAGCTGGAGATGGAAGGAATGTGAAAATAGCACATAGTAACTCAGCTTCAGTTGGATGGAGACTTGAAGGAAACAAGCAAAGCAATTGTTTTTGCCCGTTTTGGGTGCATTAAACTGCCTTAGTGACTTAGATGTTCTTTAAACATTTAGCACATTCTAATTGTGATTTGATTCTTCATTTTTTTTGGTCTTTTTTTCCTTTTTTTAATTGTGATTTTTAAGAAAGCAAACTATGGGAAATTAATGAAATTATACACATGTTCTATATTAGATTAAAGTGTTTTTCTCCTTTGGTAAGAGGCAAATTAGAAACTTTTTAGCTATTGTTTGAATTTTTATGTAAAAAATTCTGATCTATAGTCCCCAAACTTCTGTTACAGTTTTCAGATATGATGATGTGATGGATAAGGTTGTAATACATTTGAAAAAAGGATCTCTTTCTTCCTCTAAATAAAATAGTTGTCTTATGGCTAGATATTACATTTGATTTTTGTGCCTAGCTATTTGGAATATTCAAAATGTAAGTTGAAAGTGTGAATAAAGAAAGAACATTTCTTCTTTAAAGAAATGCTCAAAGCCAATTCCATCGTGGAACTTGGAAGCAGTCATATAACTGATATTTAGATGCATTGAATCAGTGTGTTTATTTTGCCAAAAGTCTTGCTTGAGTTTTCGTGCAGCATCATGAAATGTCTTGGAAAGACAAATCAGTTATTAAACATTAAAAAAAACAAAACCAGATTAAACATTAAGCCAATAGTATAGGATGTTGAGAAGAAAATAATATATAATTAATATATCCAGAGAGAATTGTATCTAGCAATGGAAATAGCGTCAGGCAGGACTTGGGGGAAAGTCAGAAGTCAACTAGCATAAAATCTGTGTGATCTTGGGAAAGTCAGTTAACTGCTGGATTCTCTTAGTCTGTAAAATGTGAAAGTTGATCTACATGCCTTCCATACCTAAAGTTGTAATCCATGATTAATGTACTGCAGCTTTGAAATTACTTAGGCAGGAACTAATATATGCAGATTGAATTATAAATTCAAATTTTTGTTTCTTTTTTATTTTATCATTAGATAGAGTGGGAGTGTGGGAGGGAGGGAGAGAGAGAGACAGAGAGAAACATCGATGTGATAGAGCCACATTGACCAGCCGTCCCCATACGACCCCAACCAGGGCTGGGGATGAATTACAACCGAGGTACGTGCCCTTGAGCAGAATTGAACCTGCAACTCATTGGTCTTAGGACTGATGCTCCAACAGCTGAGCCAAACTGGCCAGGGCATAAATTCAAATTTTTGTTTATCTTACTGCTGTTAATGTTTCTTAAGGGAGGGTGAATTGCTTTATTTAATAGTAGAACCCACATTGCACTGTGAAATCTAATGAATGTGTAATTTTCCTGTTTTTAAACATTTTTCTTCATGTAATTTTTGGTTCTCTTTTGAAAACCTTACCACTGGAAACCTGTACATAATAAAATTCTATTAGGACAGGAATTTTCTGAATAGAAGTTTACTGTCTTCCACCTTGTATCTAGAAAGATGGTAATTCATCTAACTGAAAAGGGTTTGACTCAGCCCTAACGGTCCTTCAGCCCCCCTAGAGAAGAAATATCTCTGTGCTCAAACTGTTAAAAATAAATGTAGATTAGGTACAATGATGGGCAGTCTTTTCAACTCTAGTTGGAAGTTTGTAAAGTGCAAAGTAAGATTTACATTGTTTGGCTTTTCATAATTATTTTCACGAGTGCTTTAATAATATATTAACTAAATTTAAAGAGGAAAGTGAGTACATATTTAAGAAAAATAATGTTTCAACAAATGCTCCTAATTTAAAGATGAATTGGTCATTGTGAATGATCATGATGTTTTAAGGTATAAAGAGAAATGAGTTAATAGTTTAGATATGAGAAATAAGACATCCTTCAAATTCATGTCTTATGACACTTATTTTGAAGAGAGGAAATTCCCCAAGTGATTTAGATTCATTGGGCTACATTGTTGAACAAAGCTTGCTTATGGAGGTTTGTGCTATGTATTATACAATTACTTTATTCTTACAGAGTAAATGGTGTTTTTAAGTTTAGCAGGCATGACCTTCAAGATTATATTAATAGTAAATTTATGTATCTACTCACTTTTAAGAAAGCAGTTTGACAGAAGTAATTGAGGAATTGAATTGGGAGGTTACTTAGGAAAGATCTGCTTTTATAAAGACCAGTTTCAATAAAAACTTTTGGAGTACCAATTTACTTTGGAGACTTTCAAGTTTTTCTTTTAGTCTGTTCTGCTAGTGAGTAAACAGGAAATTAAAGATTGTTAAAGTGGTTTGTTTGTGGATGCAGTGAAATTTATTTTTCAGCTTTTATTAAATAGACTTACAAGATGGCAAAATGCCAAGATAAAAATATAGATCCTAGGATTTCCAAATAAAGGAATATGTATTATGTAGAGACTCTAGTTTGAATTTAAGATACACTATTATACTTTAATGTTCTAAATTACACTGATGATAGGAATATTATGATGGCTTATTGGATGAATAAGTGATAGGGGATGGGATGAGGTCACTTTGTTACTTTAGCTCCCACAGGAAAAGCTTAGAGACCATGACAGTGAACACAGTAACTATACTCTGTGGAATAAACCATTTCAAGGCTGTGTGCCCTAGAGTTAAGTGCCAGATCCTTGAGGCTTCTAGAGCAGTAAAATCTCCTTTAGCTAAATTGCTACAGTAAGTGAGGATTTTCAGGCCTAGTTTTGGGAAGAAATGAAAAGCAGTAGGTTCTACTATCTTTTGGTTTTATTTCTTCGTGTGAGTTTTATCTCTTCGTGAAAAGAGTTGTTAATAAAGGTATAAGCCCAAGCAAGGCAGGTGCCTTGGCCCTGCAACCAACATGCTTTAGAACTCAATTTATTACCTGTCACATGAGATGGTTGGATTAGATGAACACTTTGATCTCCTAACTCATTAAAAAAAAAAAATTCTTGAGCCCCTACTGTGTGCCAGGTGCAGTTCTCAGTGATATAATAGTAAAAAACATTCTGTATCTGAAAATCAATGAGTCTGCATCATTCATTGTTTTTCTTTTTCCTCTGTGAAATTGAATATAACTTGCAAAGCTTGCAGTTGCAGTCACAGCAACAACTCAGATGAACTTAAGCAAAACAAGAAGGGGGCAGGGGTAGGGAATCTATTGGCTCACATAGCTAGGAAAGCCAAGTTGTGGCACTAGTTTCAGGCATGGCTGGACCCAGGGATGTAGATGATGTCATAGAGACTTGATTGTGTCTCTTTCCATGTTTCAGCTCCATTTTTTTCTTTATTGATTTTAGAGAGAGGAAAGGAGAGGGAGAGAGAGAGAGAAACATCAGTGAGAGAGAACATTGATTGGCTGCCTCCTGCATGCCCCCCACTGGGGACTGGGCCCACAACCTGGGAATGTACCCTGACTGTGATCAAACCCAAGACCTCTTGGTGCATGGGTCGATGCTCAACCACTGAGCCACACTGGCTGGGCTCAGCTCTATCTTATAACTAGCAAATAAAGAAAACACTGTCTATTCCCTAGTGCCCATGTTTATCTCCTCGAATCAACCATTTCTTTTTTTTTTTTTTAATCTCCTGTTTTATTCCCTCAGCTAATCACTGTGCTATCTCTGAAGTTTGGGAGATGTTTCTATGTGATTGAGAATACCAATATAATAATATGGAGTTGACAAGGTTTTTTTTTTTCTTTCTTTTTTTGGCGTGTTTAGCCAGAAGTGGGAAGGGGTTCTGGGTAGGCAAAACCAAAGGGTTTATAGTACATGAGGGGAAAAAAAGATTATTTTTAAAAAGTTATTTGAGCCCTGGCCGGTTTGGCTCAGCGGTTAGAGCATCAGCCTGTGGTCCCGAGAGACCCGGGTTCGGTTCCCGCTAAGGGCATGTACCTTGGTTGCAGTTTGTCCCTGGCCCTGGTCGGTTGTGCGGGTGGCAGCCACTCGATGTGTCCCTTTCACATCGATGTTTCTCTCTCTCTCTCTCTCTCTTCCTCTCTCTCCCTCCCACTCTACCTGAACAAAAAATGTCCTCGGGTGAGGATTTAAAAAAAAAAAAAAAAGTTATTTGAATCATATGGCTGTTCTTTTTAATCTTTGCTCCGTTGGGTGATCAAATGTATCTAAAAACTTTGGATCCCGTATCTTGGATCTGCTATATCGTTTCTTTTAAACAGGAAAAGAC